TCAGATTTTTTTTTTTTTTTTTTTTTTTTATGTATGTTACCGCATAACTTGGACCACTTCAACCGATTTCGATAATTCTTTTTGCATCGGAAAGGTAGTGTCTCAGAGGTGGTCCCATACTAATCTGGTTGAGATCCGATCAGTGGATCATGATATATATATATATATATATTTTTTTTATATGGGAGTTGAAGTCGGTTTTTTTTTGCTAAAAAATACTTGTTATATATTAAGATTGGTTGCAGAATTTCCAAGGATTATTATAGGCTAAAAAAAACTCGCATGACATACTCATGGAGGGAAGAGGGACTATTTGAAAACGGGGCGTTGTATGTGTTTGAGGGGGTCTCTGGATAGTTTCAGTTCACAATTTGACCCGCCAGGCAGTGTTGCCGTTGTGCGACTAAAAGGGCAATTTGAACCTTTTTAGGCGCCAATACCCTTTGACCCGACTTTTCGAAAATTTTGGTTTTTTGACCCTTTTCCAAAATTATGAGCGACTTTTGCCCCTTTTCAGAGATTTTGTTTTAGACCACAGCTGGGCAGTATCTGCCAGACGGGCGACTGCGCGTCGTATCCGCGTATACATACACCATCATCTTTTTCGAATTTTTTCTGGATACGAAAATTGATGATAACTGTAGGAGTAGTAAAGGAGGAGGAGATTTTAGAAGAACTCAAAAGCCAAGAAGTAACAAATATCTACAAGTTCACTAACATGCAGGACGGTAAAGCAACACCCACAGGAAAAATGGTACTCTCCTTCGACCTCTACAATCTTCCCAAAACCCTCGATGTGACATGGTACAAAGTTAAGGTCAAACCTTATTTTCCCAACCCTATGCGCTGTCACAACTGTCAGCGGCTCGGGCATACAAAAAACCGCTGTTCAAACGCTGCAACCTGCGAAGGGTGCAATTTACCCCCACATCAACCAACAACATGTACTCTGGACCAGTGTGCCAACTGTGGCGACACACATCCCTCATCCGACAAAAACTGCCCTAGATTCAAGCAAATGAATGAAAGAAAGGTTTAAAAAATATAACCTAAACAATCCACCCACTGACACATCCAAACGCACATACGCCATCTCAGTAAAAGAATCAGAAACAACGTCCAATAACAGCATCGCTCGCAAAAATGATCTAAAAACAACAAATTGCACATCAACAACCTCAACCACTGATTATCTAAAACGTCCAGCATCATCTCCAAAAACCAACCAAGAAAAAATCGCAAAAACCACTGCCAGCAGCTACAAACACCAACACACCATCAACACAGAATCCAACTCCAACTACAAAGGTATACACACAGAAAATGCAAATCCAACAAATCCCAGCTCATCACCTTTATCCAATATTACTCAACAACTCATTTCAAATAATCATTATTTCATCCCGGTAACTGAAACCAGCTCTATG